TACAGTTTCTGTTTTAATCTAGACTTGCACGCTGGTAAACATTCACCACATTAAACCAGAAAGCTGCATGTCGTTTAGGGACATTTGACTAAACGGCTAAATGACTACATTTTGTCAAACAGCTGCAGCTTTTTTGTCAAACACGCATATGCATTAGTTAGGGACTACTTCCAGTGGGACGTTAGTGTTTGTGGAAGCAGAGTGGAGCATGGGGGATTAAATTAGAATAAATTACAGCGTCATGTATGTTTCTGTCCAACAGTGTGACTCACTGATGCTGTAATAGGCTTTAGAGCAACAAAGCAGCTGTGCAGCTCCGAGGAATTAGATGTATAACAAAAGTCAGTGGAGGCTTCGCTGCTGGTTTAAACGTGGGGTTTGATGACAAGAAGAAAAATTAAGTGAGACGATTAGTTTCATTGTCAAAGTAGAAACAGTGGCGCTGTCATACAGGGAATAACCAGCAGGTTATTTTCAGGGCTTATTAGTGATCAACGAGGCCGATAACCAATATTTAGAACCAATATTGCATTTAGAATAACACAAACTCCAACATTCAAAACAAACCTTTTGAACATTTATCCTTCAGCGCTGATTGGCTGTTACCTACGCTGTGTAACCAATCAGGTAGCGCTGTGGGCGGGACACAGAGACAACAGACTGAAAGAAGCAGCTGCATTAGAGCCTAAGTATTGCATTTTTTTTTAATTAAGTTATTTTATAGGGACATGGATTATGTATAAATACCAACGCTGACAGTCAGTGAATCCCAACATTCGTCCTGGAGTGAACAAATCAGTGATTTTTATTTTCTGTTGCCAGAACAGAAACTGTTAATCAGCTGCTAGAACCATCTGTGCTGTCACTCTGCAGGATAAACAATAAAACAACAACACTGCTGCTGGATTTAAGAGTTGAACCTGATGGCTTTTTTCTTTTTTTTTTTTTTACAGCTGATGTAATTTTGTCTTTAAACCTACAGTAAAATTGATATTTTATACAATTCTATGGAAGCTAAGAGCGGCCATGCTTGCAAATAATCCCGAGATAATTATTTTGAAAAAACAGCATTCTCATGACAGCAAGTGAATTATTTCATCATCACTGAAAACAAACTAAAGGCTGTTCCCTCTCAATATGATGTGAGCTCCCCTGAAAACATGACTAGTAACCTTTGGTGGGGTCTTTACAAATTAGCAATATGCTATTTTTGACTTGCATTTCCATTTTTCTGTTTCTTCATTATGCTGTTAATTGGGCGATTATTGATTAATCATGCATGATTCACTTCTATAAAGACACCAGCATGCTGATGTTGACTTGGGTTTCCCCTCTTGCCTTCATAAAACAGAAATTAAATAGTTAACTAATGTATGAAGCACTCAGGAAAACCTCTGTGATGCTGAGAGAAGCTTCTTGTCACCTGTTTTCTTTTTATTCATATTCTTGTAAATAAGATAAATAGAAGCTGAATCAGGGGCTTTAGAAACCAAAGCTAGCTCCTCTGTTTGCACACAACATGCCATCACGCATAGATGGCATCTTGACAACTGTGGCAGCGGATTTGAACTGAAAATGTCAGATTAGGGAGGAGCCGCCCGTTATTGATCGATGCATCGGGCTGTATTTCAGTCGAGGTCTCACACAGACGCGGCTGCATTGTGTCTCTCTGAGATAACATTCAGACGAGTTCGGCTGCAACTTCACAGCCGAGTGCACTTCAGTGATCCTCTAGAGACCGTCGTCGGTCCTCACCGGGATCCTGGAGGCTCAGATCAGGTGATCAAATGAACCAGACACTCTTTTTTTTTTTATACCTCCCCATAATTATCCCACAATCTTCAGAAAACAAAAGTCGTTATGAATTAACCTAATCATCACGACCTTTAGTTTTCTTGGTATAAATTAACCCGTTATCATAACGGAGCGAGCTTTGTTCCCTCCAAATAATTAACTCATCATCTCCAGATAAGGACGTTGAAGGAATAATTGCAAACACGGACGTGCTCGGCCTCCGTTCAACCCTCAGTGTGCAGAACAACAAAACTGTTTTAACTCGGAGCTGCACAATATGAGCAGAACAGTGAAAGTAGCATCAAGTGGCTGTTTTCAGTGAATGATGTTCTTTTCATTAAAAACAGCTTCGATTCATTTAGCGGTTGATTCCACTTCATGAGGAAACACAAACTAAACTGAATTATACTTAGAGCGGTTACACATCTACAAATTTAACATTAGAGCTGCAGTAATTTAGTAAGTAGGTAGAGTGAAGCCGTTTAGCTGGATTCAGGTCTTAAATTTGTGCTTTTTTTATCAAGGAGTTTGAGACCTTTAATCTGCAAGACATCTATGATAGTACACTGGGTTGTGGTTGACTGTAAGGGAGAGTTTTTTTTAAATATATTATTTAAATCTAACTGAATAATCAAACATATAACCAACAGATTAACTGTCAGTGAAGAGAATTGTTGGAAACATTTAGAAAGGTTTAGTCTGAAGCATGAGTGTATTGATTTCACTCTTTTCCTCGTATTTAAAGACCGAACTTAACAGATGTGAAACTGAAGAGCAAAGACAAAAAGGATGCAAAATGACCACAAAGACACAGATATGACCGTAAATATACCAAATTAACAGAAATGAAAACAGAGTTAGAAAACAATTTGGAGTCACACGAGTGAAATCTGTTGTTCTGAGGCGCTAAATGTGACTGAAATGAAAGATGCAGCTGGAATAGTGGTTGTAACTCTATTCAGGACTTTATGTTGTCACACTTAGAGGGTCTTTCAGGGTCCATCAGACCCCAAGAAAGAATATGTGCAAAATATTTGTTGGTATTCATTATAGACTTTTATACTATGTTGAATAAATGTTCTGATAAGTTGACGTATTTTTGGTTCCAAATGCAAAAATAAACAATCTTCAAAAATAAAAAAACAAAACCTGTCACCTAAACCAAATGGCCTGGGGTCCAGAAGACCCCAAAAGTCCTGAGTAGTGTTTTTAAAGCCACGTGTCTGTGACGACGTCGACATGATTCTGCAGAAACGACCTTCCTCGTATTGAACAGCTGTAATTAAGAGAAGCTCAGCGTCTCTGTCACCTGCCCGTCCTCAGCTGTCCTTAATCCTCCTCTCAGCGTTTGTCCCGCAGATTAAGTCTACAGACAGCAGATTAGCGCCCATGCTAATTTTATCTCTGGCTGACTCCTAATTAAATCCAGCAGTGGACACAGATTGAAGGCTGAGAGCAGGAACTTGTGGTAATCCCTCCTCTTCCTCCTCCTCCTGCTCTCACCTCCATAAACCAAACTCCGTCCTCACTTCACTTCAGAGCCTCTGCTGGGAGACATCGGCGGGTTTCTGGGTGTGACTCTCCCGTTTGTTTGGTCCTCAGGGTCTGCTCTACTTCAACGCCCGGCTGAGGATGCTGGAGAAGCGGCAGCAGCAGATCAGAGAGCTGAAGAGCAAACACGAGAGGCTGAAGGTGGAGCTGGAGGAGGCCAAGAGCCGGCTGATGCTCCACCCGAGCAAATGGAGCGGAGAGTGTGAGTACGGGCCGCTGTTAAATACACTTTACACGGCGCTGGTTCTCAAACAGCCTCGAATTAAAGCGGTTTGAAAGCCAATTATCAGCTGAATCTGCAGCTCCCCTCGGATTTACTGCAGCTTTACAGTTTCAGCTCACTGTTTTTGCTGAACGGCTTCAATTTTTCTGCTTTTGGTTCGGCCTGTTTCCAGCTGCAGCAGCTGTTGGAGGAAAAGCTGAACACCAGCAAACATCAGACACAAACAGCTCGGCCTGCTGAGGTGGGAGCAGGAATCTAAAAATCCTAATTAAGAGAGGAGTGCTGCATGTTCTCCTGAAGTACAGAAACACCTTGTGTTTGTAAAAACGTCTCTAGATGTATATTTTGAGATAAAGCCCAGCTGATAGATCCTCTGTGCCCATGTGTCAGCTTATCACACATACAGCAGTGGTTTAGTGTTTATGTCAGCTGACAAGACTCAGAATTAAGGTAAGTTCAGAGATCTATTGGAGATTGTTGAGAAACAGCAGCACTGCCCGCTAATGTCGTCTGTTTATTTTATTTTTTACGCTACTATCCATCCATTATCTATACACAGCTTAATCCTCACTGGGGTCGCGGGGGGCTGGAGTCTATCCACTACTATCACAAGATATATTTTCAATCTTTCCAAGTCTCACATATGATTATTAGTAGAAGCGTCAAAGCTCCAGTATTGATCAATCTATAAAAATACCTGCATAAGATGATGTTTTCCCTCCACTGAGTCCAAAGAATTTCCCTCAAACTGGTGAAAACTATTTCCAGTAAAGTAAAATTATTTCAACCAGTTTTGCATATAAATCAATGTGACTGATTTACTCTAAAGAATGAAGCATTACTGTGTCAGAACACGAACATACAGACCTCAGTGCAGCATTAAGCAGCAAAGTATTCTCTCAGTGGGTGGTGGAGACCAAAAACTGAGCAAAAAGAGACACAATGCTGAACATTAGATGAACACAAAGACCATCTAATGTCAGTTTGCTGCAAGCTAATCTCACAAAATTACATTTCTGTACAACTAAACTGCATTCTTAAATATGCTTTGAAGGGAACATCATTTTATTTTTATTTTTAAGTAAAAGTAATTTGCAACCTGTCACATGGTGGGAAAGGTGGCCAGTATGAAAACATCTCAGTTGTCCATACTGGGAGGTTGGAGGGGTCGCTGGTGGCAGAAACCAGGGACCAGACGTTTAACCAGAGGACCAGGTTTTGAATTCTGAGGACCATGACTCTCAGAATTCAGTTTCGTTTTCTGTAGTTGTTTACTTTTGGGTTTCACTGTCTGGTCGGGTTCAGGAGAATTTAGTGTTTCATTAGACGCTTGAAGCCTGCTGAAGGTTACTAACCCAGATTATTTGGTTTTTAGTAGGAAAAGTGCCGTGATTTGGATCAAAACCACATTTATATGACCCTTTAACCACATGTTTGAAGCATCTTTCTGGGTTACCGTGGTGACAAGTCCCACTACATCTAACATGTGATTGGTTGTCTGAAAACGAGCAACAGTAAAGTCATAAAATAAATACATTGATTAGAAACGTATTTGTAATAAAACATAATTGAGAATGCAGTTTGGCTGTGCAGGAAGGTAACTTTGGTTTGCTACCACTTTAAGCACAACAGCTTCAAATTAAAAGGTGACAACAGGATAAGTCTGAGCTCGCGGCTGTTTGTTAAAGTCGATCTGAGCAGGTTTCAGTGAAGCAGCGAGTCGTGATGATTAACGCAGGATGTGTCACGAATTCCTGTCAGCTGGTATGAGGACGGAGATGAAGCTGTTTTTATCAGATACGAACATTTATCAGCAGTTCACACGGTCCTGAAGCGACTAATACAACTTTAATAAGAGGTGTTTAGATTGTTTGGTGCATCATTTATAAAAATCTGTATGAGGTGTTAACAGGTGTGTTGATCACTAATATAGTATTTAATGATGTTTAAGAACAAGTCCGTGGGCTGCAGCTTATTCTAACAGTTTGGTTAAAACTATTGTACAGAGCATTTGTGCTGCTTGTGTCTGGAATATTTATACACTGCGTAATATTATTTCAGTTGTTCAACCTTTTAAAAATGATTTATTCACATTTAAAACTCTTCATTAACGCCATACTCACATTGAACTTGGCGACTGTCTGTGATGAGTCAGACTGCTGGTACGTCTTCACCAGCGTTTAGATCAGAACTGAACAGAAACAAGCAGCCATTACATTAGACGCAGGAGAATCTTTATTTAAGCTTCATCTTCATCTGGAAATGTCCTAAAATGATTCTTCTACATTTGTTCCCCTTTAAGTTTTGCATGGAGCTCAACAGAAAGATCACATCAGTTAATAAGTGCTGTTGTTAGAATAAGTCTGCAGCCGTAAATGTAAATGTGAACTTCATAAATGGACTCTGGTCCAGACGTCGTGCTGCTACAAAGACGAATCGGTGTGAGAATCGTCCTCTCACTGTTTCACTGTATTTACCACATAGTAGATTCATTAGAGTATAAAGCTGCTCATTCAGAGGAGCTGTACGGTTAAGACATCTAAGGAGTTTAATCAGTAGAAAATACCGAGCAGCCATCCGCTAACAACAGACAGACCGCCGCAATGCATGATGGTAGAGTGATGCTGTGGCACGCTGCGTTTCTGTGTGCTGTGGGATGATTTTTTTCAGGCCCCACTGCATGAAATTAACGGTAAAGAATGGAAACAGCACTAAGAAACAACTAATTCACTATTAACTGGACTATGAAGTGGATGAGAGGAGCTGAAGTGTCAGAACGGAGGAAAGTATAAATAAAAGCACCAGAACACGACGTGTTCATGTGCAGCAGCTGAGTCCACATTTAAGCTCTTAAGACCCGAGCTCTTGTTTGATTTGCTTTTTTTTTTTTTTTTTTAATTTCTTCTCCTCTTTGTTTTCTTTAAAAAAAAAAATATTCAGAAAAAAAGTCTTTAAAATATTTTTTAAAATTAAAATATATTTTAAAAATGAAAATGGGAAAATATAACAATAATAAAATAATACAATTTTAAAAATAAATAAATAAAAATGAACTACTGTGGTAATATGACCCGTGATGTCCATGCATGTGGATGTCAGGTCTTAAGAGGTTAACACTGAATAATTTCTCACAGAATCATATATTTATCTACTGAACATGATTTTTTGGGTGGTTGCAGAAAAAGGTTTTAAAAGTCCTTTAATGTCCACATGAGCTCTCAGCTGTAACACGGGGAGAAGGAGGGCTGGAAGAAACAACAGCAGCTCATTTAAACTTGTAATCTCACATATTTGTAGCTCGTAAGCTGCTCATAACTCTCCAGTCTCTAACCAGAGACTAGCGATGGCGATGACGTGCTGATAAACACAGACGTCAGTCAGACATTCAGGTCTGTTGCTGGTTTCTCTTCAGTGCTGTCGGAGGTTTCAGATGATCCACTTCTCTCTGCAGACTCTAGATATAGGCGCTGCCTCCTCCCTTTTTCATCACGCAGCACAAAAGGCAAACGAGTGCAGTAAGCAGCTCCTGACCCCAAACACAAAGTGGACTAACAGTGTGTGTGTTTCCAGCTGAGTGCCGCCGGCGGCCTCCAGCCTCGCCGGTGAAAACCTCGTCCTCTGCAGCTCAACTCCATCCATTATGCTTCTATTTCTGGGACAAAAGCACAAAAGGAAACAGCTCGCGGCGCTCCAGAGGCGAGAGCCGGGGCGTTTGTTTAGGGAGGAGATTGTCGGTGCAAACTGCAGATACAAACAGGCCAAAGGGGGAAAAAGGGATTATATTAACATCTTTGTATTATTTCTGTCAGAGGGACAAACTCTCAGGTCACCTCGAAGAAAAGCCTCCTCGTTCCTCACACAAGAAACGCTTGACTCTGCAGAAAGCGGATGGAAAAGGTTTGCAGCAGAAGGTCTGAGAGATGATGTTTCAGGTCGCATCTCGCTGTTTAAACACTAGAGCTCATAAGTCACCGACTGCTGAGGTATCCCAGCATGCCCTGCTCCATCAGAGGCTGCTGTGGTCATCATATACTAAACACACAAACCTGCGTCGTCTCCTACGAGGAACAAATCACTTTTAGTCATTACAGCATCATTTAGATTAAATCCCTGGAAAGTGGCACAAACGAAATCAACGTTTTTGTGTTTGATGGTGTCAAAAGTCCTCCTTCTTCTCTCAGTCAGATAAACACACAGACATGAAACACCGATTTTTAGATTCATTTTAACTGCTGCTGTGCATTGAGATTAAATATCAATAAATCCAGTTCATCAGTGAAAAACACACCTGTTCTGCCTGGAAATCTACATTTTCCACTTTTCTTCAGGTTACAGTGATCAGCGATGGTTTGTCTGTTCACACAGAATTCAGCTGCTTGACAAAGTATGAATAAATATACAACTACATAAAAGAATTATTAGAAATCCTCCCAAATCCGAAGCGAGGCAACGAATAATGCTCTCCCAGTGTTCATATATGCTGACATTCCTAATCTGTTCCACTCCTCTGAGCCTGCAGCGACCCACATTAAAATGAGTGGAGCTCCTAAATCCCACTGACTGTATAGAAACACTGTGTGAACAGAGTCAAGGACGCTGTGGGCTTGTAAACAAACGAAGATGCAAAAAAGCACGGGTACGATTTTATTTATTTTCCCAAGGACAGACTTGTAAAGACCAACAATGTTGACAGTCAGTATGGAGTTTTTATTTTATAACCTGATGTACTTTATCGCTTCGATCCAAACCCATAGTGACAGTTTTCATCGTTTCTGTTCCCACCTGATTAGTGTGAGGTGTTGGGTCACCATGGCAACTGATGCTGCACAGTTAACCTGAGTTTGGGATTTAAATCTGTTGTAAGAAGTGTCTATTATTATTATTATTATTATTATTATTATTATTATTATTATACAGATTCTTAGATGAGGAATAATATATTGTCTTTTTTTTCCGGTTACTGATCATTTTGTTTTCTAAACCCTATGCGCCCATTTTTGGAACAAAAAAAAAGAAAAAAAACTCCCGCATTCAGTATTTTCGGAGAGAATCCGCTCCGTTATCGAATCCGATCTGTGTTTCTGTGTGTTTTATCACGCAACATGATAATTCAACTAAATGAAAAGCTGTTCAGTGACAGTAGCGTAAACCGTGCACATGACATTGCTTTAAAAAAAAAAAAAATGTATTCAGTTGATAAAGCAGAAAATATGTTTTAAAGCTTGGTCCTGATTGGCTGCCGAGTCTGTTTCACACCGCTGGTACTGCAGCTGGTAGAACACAGATTATAAAACTGATCAGTCTGATGGTATTTGTCACAGAGAATATTCAATCAATAGAATAAGTTCACTTTGATTCGGCCAAAAACTAAAATGATGTCTGCGTGTTCTTCATGATGTCAGACCTGAGTGTTGAGCATCATGCTTAAATGAACAAACAGCTTCAATGTGCAGCTGTCAGAAATAATCACTAAGCAGTAAAATCAACATATTACGATGAAGACTTTTCTACCAGTGTTCCTCTCTTGCATCATTTGCAGCAACAGTGATGCTTTTTACTGTCATGTTTTTTATTTTCCTCGTAGCTCTCCATCATAACAACACGTTCTTGTGGTTGAAGCAGGCAGCAAACAGTTTGTGCAGAAGAACAGTGAAATGATGCAGAAAACCTGGTTAACAAACAAAACCACCATTAAGACTCTGAAGTTTCAGGTTTTGCAGAGCTGGTTAACTCAAAGAAAGCCTTGCTCTGTCAAAGTTACTCTCTAGTTCAGCCCTCAGTTTCCCTAAAGTCAAACCCAGCAGCTTGTTTCTGGCACATCAAAGTGTGAAAAGTTGGTCTTCACAGCAGACATGATGAGTTCAGCTGGTTCAGCAACCTTTAAACACATGAAAAGAGCTTCTGCTGGTGTAAACATCCATCCCAGCAGAGTTCAAGAGGTAGAACCTCAAACAGCAGAGTTCTTACATCTCTGACTGCACACATTTACTGTGTGACGCGCAGGAAGACTCAGGAAGTCACTCAGCTGGTTTAAATTATGCTTCTTTTTTTTTTTGATAAGTTTCCTAAAACTCACCTGCAAACTGAAGCAAACTGTAAACAAAGAGATGAAAAACAGGACTTAGTATTTGCTCTGTGGTAGTGATAAGGATCTACAGTCGTCCTCAGATATATTCATCTCCTTCCATTAAAGAAAAGGTAAAATCCACAAAAGTCACTCAAATAACAAGAAACTAAAAAAAGTTATAATAAATAAAAATTTACTAAATTATAATTTAGTGAAATAAGATATTGATTTTGAATTGTGACTGAAAAGAATAATTTTAAAAAAACAAAAAGGAAAGACAAATGAGAGCACTTTGCTGATGAGCAGTGAAATCCAAACACCTGTCAACAGGTGCAGAAGTCTGATGGAGAGTTACAGAAATACCTGATTGGCTCAAAGGGTTGTTCAACTAAATATTAGTTTACGGGTCTCGTTATGCTGGGGTTTTTTTTTGTTTGTTTGTGTCATATTTCTGTTGAGGGCGTCCAGGTGTCCTCTGCCTTCACCCTGAGTCAGCTGGGATAGACTCCAGTCCCCCATGACCCTGGTGAGGATTAAGGTTTAGAGATGATGGATGGATGTTTCTCTTGAACCACAATTCAAAAGCAACATCATGATTTTTATTTATTATTACTTTTGTCAGTTTCAGTGACAGATGGTTTGTCCTTCTTTAATGGGAGGATATGAATACATCTGAGGACGACTGTAGATGTTTATATCAGGAGTTCTGGTTCTGAGTCTGAGCTGCATCTTTTCACGTTTTAACCACCGACCCGTCTCCTCCTGTCTGTCTCGCCTCCAGTCGACGTGGACCAGGACCTGGACCGGGAGTCCCAGGAGTACCTGGAGGCTCTGGCTCAGGTCACGGCCGAGCTGGAGTACTGCGTCAACCTCTGCAAGTCCCGCGTCATGATGGAGACCTGCTTCGACATCACCGCGACGACGGCCGCCGTGGCGCAGGGAGGGCAGCAGGAGGTGGAGGTGTGAGAGGAAAACGTCCTCACGTTCACTCGCTCATTCATTCATTAAGAGAAAGTAGAACCTCAGAGGAGTGGAATGAAGGAGACAGAAAACAAACTGTGAGCTGCAGCGTCACAGCAGGAACAGAACAGAACAAGAACAGAACAAAGGAAGCTGTGGGTTGTGAGTGGACGGACCGAACATGTTGGTGACAGACTGATGGACGAGCTCCTGGATTTAGTTTCCACTCAGACAAGCTGCTGGTCCTGGATCAGATCAACGAAGACGAACAGACGTGGAAGTGCCTTTCTATTTATTCTCTAATTTAACACATTTATTTAAGTATTATTTTCCTTATTTATGATGCTTTTGTATCCATCTTCTTGGTTTGTATGGTGCTGATATGAATATATTGGTTATGCAACTTGATTTGGGAGCAGACTGTGAGTTTATAAAAACAGCTTTTAGGTTTTTACAGGAAAAGGACAAACAACAGAAGAGAAATAATTTAGTTAGTACGATAAAAACCTCGGATTATTTTGCTGCCTTTGACACTGACTCAGAGTCTCTGTGGTTTGTCTCAGATGTTGGTTTGTGTTCATGTGTTGATGTTGGTTTACTGCAGGAAGGCTGAAAATCAGAAGAAACAACCACACTTCCTCTCCGAGCCATAACTTAGTCACACCACGGACGTGATTTGTTTTTTTAATAGATTTTTAGTTTCTGAGGATGTTAAATTCACTTAAAAATCTAAGAAAAAGACAGTTCAGAACCTGCCTGAGATTCTTGATGTTTTTAGGTTTCCTTCAGTTTCTCAGTGATCCGGTGCTGGTTGTCTGTACATCCAGGACACGCCGCAAACAGGAGCTGCTCACGGAAAATTCAGCTGCTTTAAACTGGCCAAATGTCACACATTACATCTAATTAGCCTAAAACTAGATTATGCTCGTTATTGTTTCAGCCACATGGAAAACACAAATCTGATGACGGTGCAGCTGAGAATGTTCCAGCTGGTTGTCGAAAACCTGCTTTAGGTTGCCAGGATCAGGTGGTAGCAGCTGTTTGTTAATTCATCACTAAATCTGTGCATAAAGTCCCGTCTGTGTTTTTAGAAATGAAAGTGGGCTGCAGCAGTGAAATGTTACGAATGCTGCAGCTTGTAAAGTCTTATGTGTGAATTTGTGACTAAAAGGCTGCAGCTGATGACGTTTGCGACTGTAAGCCTGAACCTGAAATCCTGAACACAGCCGTAAATCTTCATATCTAGATCCAGCGGCGCAGCGTCACATACGGACAACACGTCGTCCGTTTTCAATCGGCTCGTCCAGACATCTAAATGAACACAGACACGTTAAATCTACACATCTTTAAAAGCAGCTAAAGATTTCCACAGTACAAAACCACCAAAACGCTGCCTGAAGTTTGGTGCATGGAAAGTGACAAGAATTAAAATAAAAAAGTCTGATATTTGACAACAAGATTGGGAAGGTGTAAAATCTGCAGGTTTTTGAATGGAGTTTGGTGGGCATAAAAAAAATAAAGAGAGAGAGAGCGGAGTTTGGTGTTAAATCTAATTTGCATGAGTTAAATATCAGCTGAAAATCAACTGATACACAAAAATCTGTTTTTATATTTGAGACTTTTTACTGATAATCTTCAGAATGAGTCATCAAATTGCTTGAATACAAAAGTCTTGAGTGTAAAAACAGCCGGAGTCAGACTTTCTTGGATCATTGTTTTTAGTTTTGTGACTCGTTCTCTTCGTCCGTCTCTTTTCAAACCTCCTCAGGCTCTTCTCAAAGTTGCTGCATGAAACGTTTCCTCCTTTTCCATGTGTGACGTTTGGTTCGTTGTTTCTGAGGTTTTTGTGTTTGTTAGAAGAAGAGACATTTTTGCCAAACTTGTTTTTTAAAGTGAAGTTCCTCTGCTGATGTGAGACCTTTAATAATATATTCAGACCTTTTTTTATTTGTTTTTGTACTGTACAGTTTTATAATTATTTGTAAAGAAAAGAGAAGCGTGTGGAACTGAGTGGAAATGTTCAGGACGAGTGGATCGCCTCGTGTCATACATGTTAATAAAGATAAGAGTCTTTTTGGTTAACGTATGTGTTGTACTTTGTGAAGACGTTCCAGGATTGGAGTTAGTGGAGCTTCTCAACAGATTTGGTTCAACTTGATGAAACAACCTGTGTGAAAGGAAATGAAGGTAAGGCCTTGTCCACATGTAGCAGGGTTTTTGTAAAACCGAATATCCTCCCCCCTCCGTCTAGAAAAAACTAACCTACACACCACCTCATTTTTAGAAAAGAATGCATCCACATCTAACTGCATTAGTGCGTTGTTCAGCACATTCATGTTCTACGTGAGGATGTAAGAACTCCAACGACGACCGGGACATACGGAAACTGTCACGTAATTCCTCCTGGAGCACGACTTCCATCTCAAAGTTCTCCCACCAGCTGGCAGAGCGTCCCGGTCTGACTCAAAACCGGCGTCGGTGTCTGTGACGGAGAACATGCCTCGGACGTGGAATGGCAAGGTGGTGGAAAAGAACCGTCCTTAACGTTGTCCTTCACCTGTGTTCTTGTATCTGGGCCTGGACCAGAGACAACGCCAACACAGTACTGATGGCGTCCACGCTGTTTCCAAATGTAAACACAGGTCACATATGTGATGTAAAGAACATATTTTGTCGCAGGCAGTAATGTTTTGAAACCTAAAACCCGGTTATTGACGTCCACATGCAGACACATTCAATTCAATTCGATTCAATTTTATTTGTATAGCGCATATTTACAACAACAGTCATCTCATAGCGCTTAACGGAGGATTAACAGATCTTCACTTTGGTCGGAGGTTTT